ATCCCTGGCTGGCATACAAGAACCATTTTGGTGGCTTTTGTTCTCTTGCCTTGTTCTTGCCACTATAAGAGTTAATAAACATTAACACTGTAAAAACAACACTCACTGCACGCTGTAAAGTCTTAAAGGTAAAACTGAATGGTGTGGACACATATAGACACCATGCAGTGTTGATTTAACAATGGCACATTTGCTGTGTAGGATCATTTTGTTCACTCAAAATTAGCATCTGCTTTTTTGGATTACCTGCAAGTACAGTCTAATAAAGATATATTTTTTCAGCAGCAAAGGCAGCGCCCCCTGGTGACTAGAATTTTAGATGTTAGCTGACAGTAATGAAGTGACAGGTAACAAGAAATCCAATGTAAAGTTCAGCAGAGTAGAAGGAAGGAAGTTATAAGAAGCTAAGAACTTTAAACAGGAAAAACAGGGATCAGTGCTGCATTCAGAACTGAGGAACAATTCTATGGCTGCCCACTTAAATCCTGTAAGAGATCCTTATCAATGATGCCCCGAGGGCGAGTGGCTCAGTGGGTTGGCATGTTTTGCTTGCATTTGGTGGGTCGCTGGTTCAAATCTCAGACTTTACAGAGCAAGGACCTTAACCCCTAATTACTCCAGGTATTTTCTGACCCTGCTTGCCTCTGCTAAATAAATAAAACTTACTGTTAACTGTTTCCCAGGATCCACAGAAGAGGCTGTTACTTGTACTGCCATCAGTCTGCTGTATATCCTGCTGTTGTTTTATATGGCTCCGTATCAGAAATCATTCACAGGTATGTTTACATATTTCCATGTTTCCTATCCTGTTTCCTACACTTCATATTAAAGGGGGTTGTCACTGTTTGGGAAAAAAACTGTAGATAAAGACAGCGATCATTGTCAGCATTGTGTCGGAGTGGTTTGGAGAGGAGCAGCCAAGAGCTTCCAAAGGAACATATGTAAAGAACCAAAGAGCAGTGAAGAACCCTAGTATCATACAGGAGATGAAAACCCTCAGGTCCCAATACAAACAGGCAAAACAGCTCATGATCAGATATGATGAATCTTAGTTTAATTGGTCCTTAAGGAATGAATGGGTATTAATGGTCTGACATTGTTAAATAATTTTCCTATAATTAGGGATAGCTGGCATGATGTATGATGGGTTGAATTTAACATATAATTATAAATCCCATTTTTATTTTATAAAAAAAATTACTTGTTTTCATTATGCAGTTACATTTTGGAAAGTTATCCTCAACATTCTGAAAGCTGCATTTCCCATCATTATGGTTGGTGTCCTTACAGGTAAGTTTAAGTGTAATTAACAGATATGAAACATTAAAGCAAAACAGGATAACGCCACAGCTTCTGGTGAAATATTAAACACACTGTGGTGCATTTTTGAAGATGCCAAACATACTTCAGTGTTTCAGAAGAAACTGCTTATTTTTCACCTTGTCACTGACAGCACCTCATGTTGGAAAATTCCTTTAAATCTGAGCTTATTCCCCCATGCAGTAACCCAGTTAAGAGGGACAGTCCTTAGCATGGTGGGTAAGACAAGAACCTGTAATCTGAAGTTTCCCAGCCCAAGTCCTGGGAGAAGCTTGGCTTGTTTACCTTTAGACAGCTGCTTAACCTGAACTGCTCCAATGCCCGGCTGTCAGAAAGGGGGTGGATTTATATAGCTAAGAAATGGGGATTATTTAAAATTAGTTCTGCATGATTATTGGAAAAAACATGTTTGATATTTTTGTAATGAATGTTACAGTATTTATTAAACAAAAAAGAAGCTGAAAATAAGCTAAATCCTTATGTCATATAAGTCGGTGGTGTTGCCATGAATTATAATGATAAATAACGCATTTTTAGTTACATTTATACATATAATTACATTTATATAGCGCATTTCATATTCCCAAGGTCGCTTTACACAAAAAAAATAAGAAAGAGAGATCAGTAATCAGTAAAGGAGGGAGAGATAGAAGAGAAATGTTCAAGGAAAAGAAATGTCTTTAATTCAGATTTGAATGGTGGAAAGTCTGGTGTGTGGAACAGTGAGGAGATTATTAGAGGATCTGAGAGAGCGAGAGGGTGAGCAGGGAGTCAGTAGTTCACTGAGGTAGTGAGGAGTGAGGTTATGCTGAGCTTTATAAGTGAGAAGCAATATTTTGAATTTGATGTGAGACTGAAGCGGTAACCAGTGTAGCTGAGAGAGGATGGCTGTGATGTGAGCAGAGCATTTGGTGTGAGTGAGAACTCAAGCTGCTGAGTTCTGAATATACTGAAGCTTTTGTATAGATTCTGCAGGGAGACCAATGAAAAGGGGGCTGCAGTAATCAGTACATGACATAATAAAAGCATGAACCAGAGTTTGGGCATCAGTACTGGACAGAAATGGGCGCAGACAAGCAATGGAGGTGAAAGAATGCAGTTTTGGAGAGGAAATTTATATGAAGATCAAAGTTAACTGTGGAATCAAATAGTACAGCAAGATTTCTGATAACTGTAGCAGGTTTTACAGGGACACCATCAAAACAAACAGAGAAACTGGAGGATTTAGATACTAATGATTTTGGACAGACCAGTAAGACTTCAGTTTTGTCTGCGTTAAGTTTAAGTTATCCTACATCCTAAGCTTTAAATCTGCATTGCAATCAGTATTGGGAGGGAATTCAATGAAGGAGTGTGTACTGAGATATAACTGAATATCATCAGCATAGCAATGAAAATTAAGGCCATATCTGCAAATGATCTGACCAAAGGGGAGGATGTAGATTAGGGATCAGGGACTGGAATGGCTGGTATAGTGTGTTACCATTGAGAAAGGCATGTATCTGTGTGGCTACAACTCATTCCTTCAGTTTAGCCAGAAAAGGAAGACTTGAGGTTTATAGCTTGAGAGAGATAACTGTCAAACTCAGGTTTCTTGAGGATAGGAGTAACTGCAGCAGCTTTGAGAGAAGAAGAGACAGAGCTGGAAGGGAGACGTGTTTATCAGTGATGCAACTGGAGAACTGATTATAGAAGAACATGCTTTAACCCTCAATGGGTCCTTGTCAGAAAGTTACGTTCCAGGTCCTTGGGGTTCAAGTTGCACCCCT